CAGAGGGAACTACATAGACCATGATCCTTTGCTCCATTTCAGTGCAGACTACAAGAAGAAATAACAGTTCTAAGCACTTTTAAGTCTTAGTTCTTTGCATTAAGTCTTGTCAAGGCATTTTAAGGAGAAAAAATAGCATATTCACAGTTTTAGCTGTTTAGCCACCACAAAATATCGCAATAAATATCGTACCGTGAGATGTATATCATGAAAATAACGTACTGAGAGATTTGGATATTGTAACATTGTGAGCCTCCCTACCATACTGTGAGCTTTCCCACGATATTGCAATAAATATCATACCCTGAGAGTCATACGTGACGATATCATATCATGAGACTTGGATATCGTTACACCCCTAGAAATAACATTACTCCTACTTCATTACAATTTTTGGCTACTCTACCCACCTCCTGCCCTTATTATGTTTTTACTGTCACAAAACAATTCAACTATAAGGTGATCAGTACTACGCCAACAACTACTTATGTACTATATCCAATTTGGGCTTTGGGAACAAGAACAAAATGAATCCGTATATAAATCATATGCAAATCTAAATCTACTCTATACTGAATTATTTAACATTTAATTTCCTTCACAAGCCCACTTCAACATGAAACTCTCCAAACAGATTAGACTCGACATTTTATCACCACTGCAATATCCGCTCGTAGTATTTGTACAAAGTATTCCCGGGGCCACTAATGCGTACAGCAGAGGGCCTTAAACTGTACGCATGGTCTATCAGGATCCCAGAGCAGCGCATTCATCATAGTCTGACGTTTATTCTTGGTTACATTGTGAAGCGATGACAGCCCGACTTGGCTCTGTCCCGATTGCAGATCAGTTTACTCTGCTAAAGAATGCTCCAAAAAGCTTTATACGTTTCAGATGGGTGGACACGAAGCAGCCAAGTCCAAACTACTGAGCGTCTTTTGTATTTTTAGCTTGTTTTTGTATCTTGTTGTCTACGGTTTTCATCTACACGCTTGTTGAATTGTCAGAAGTTTTCACCTCCTGACTGAAATCAATGCGGCTACTTTTAAATGCGGTGTGGAGTCGATATATGCGATGTATAAACATGGCTGTCTGCTGTTTTAATCCAACTTGGGTTAAATTACTTTGAAAGATGTGATATTCTTTGTAGATATAATACAAAAAAGTCAATACATTTCTGCATTAAATAAAGGCTAAACAGAGGTGAAATAAACAATATGCTTTAGAGAGCCTATATTACGCAAACTTTTAGCCATGTAGCAATGAGCTCATCAAAAACACACCCAAAGTTGTGTTTTGTTTCATTCACACATGTTTGAGTGAACCATTATTAGTCTGTCTGTTATTCCAAAGTTTAAAATGCTTTGTTCCACCTTGTGATGTCATGAACTGATAGTTTTCACTTAACTACTACACTACTTTTTAGCTTTAGTTCAGTAGAGATTGGGAATTCAAGAACTGAAATGATCTAAATGATTCTAGTGAAGGTGTATGGAGTTTAAAAACACAGTGGAGCATTTATGTATTACCACATGACATCACAAGGTGGGGCATATAGATTTCTGTCTGAGAGAAGAACTCAGCCTAAAGTTGCAGGGTTTGTGTGTTAAAGATGTCTGAATGAAAAAAATAATACAATTCCGGGTATGTTTGTGATGAGAAATGGTAAGTGGTCACATTTTCTATAGCGCTTTACCACCTTCAAGGCACTCCAACAAGGAACCACTCACCCATTCACCATACATACACCAGTGTACACATACACTGGGGGTGAGGTGGGTTAAGGACACAACAACAGCATTCATCTGTGGGAGCTAGAATCACACCAGCCAACCTGTGGGTCAGTGGATCTGAGCGCTCAACCAATGATTCAAACCTCCAACCTTCAGATCAGTGGACGAACACTCTACCAACTGAGCTACTGCCGCCGAAACAATAAAACAAACAAAAAAACATACGTCTTTACTCTGAGCAGGTTTGCATCACCATGGATATGTTGGCTATAATATTCTAGCCAGGCTGGCACCACCTAATGCCTCCGCTCCATTTTATTTCTCTCCAGCGACTAGGTCAGGAATCGCAATACACTAGACGGTTTGCAGGAACTCCGGAAGTGCGAGTTTGGGCACTGGTCAATCAGCGAAAAGCTGTGAAACCATGACGTCAAACTCAAGCACCTGTCTGGGTCCCTTTGTGGTACAGTACAACAGTAAACAAAATGGTCGAGATGGATGCAGACGAAGATGGACATTCTGTGTTGGCAACGATTCCTGAGATCAAGAATTTAAAGCCGGAACAAAGAGAACAAAGGGGAAAAGACGTTATTACCCTTCTTCCTATACGGGATTTGGAGCATTACATGCGTCACAACCAAATAGCAGCGATTGGTTAAATAAAAAAAAGTACCCTACTACCATCGCACAAATAAATCCTAATGCTGCGAGGTCAGACGGTTTCCACGAAGTGAAACCGGCTGATGAATCAAGCTAATAATATTCCATAGAATCTCACAAAACTTAATTTTCTTCATGAAGAATTGTAGTTTTAACTTTCTGTTTCCATGGAATCAAGCAAATATGCCACCTACAAAAAGCAACATACAGAACCTTTAAGTGGATCATCTTAAAATCCAAAACATGGGCTTTGGAACAATATTAAAAAAATGGAAAAATGTAACACGATATATGTAAAATATATTAGCCACCTCCACCTCTCCATCTCCACCTCACCACAACCTGCCTATTCCCCTTCTTCACCGCACTCACGCTCTTTCAAATTTCAGACCACTACCCTTTTATTTGGATCCAACTCTTGTCACACAGCATTGGAACTGTACCTGCCGTCTTTGTAGTTTCCATTTTAAAAGTCCCTGCACTCCCCTTCACTGCACACAGGCTAAACTCACAATAGAGTTTCATTTAAAACCTGCCTGGCTGAATGTCACTCCACATGATTTTCATAATGCACCAGATTGAGTTAGCCGCGCGCTATCAAAGCAAAAGGGCTAACAGTGCAACATCAAACAACACAAAGTCATTTACATATGCCCCTTTTATATAATCACACTCACAATTACACACAAACACGCCAGACACTCATTAAGGGCACTAAACATGTTTTTAAAAGCAACGGACGCACTGCTGTCAGCAATAGGGGCATGAAAACTGTAATGCGGAAAATACAGAAAATGGATGTTAGAAATGCATAGGTTGATAATTGGATGTTTGGACTATTTGACCTTTTCAATCCTTTTCAGAAGTAAATTGCTAACGCCCGTGAAGCAAAACTAGCTGTACATTGGGAGTGTTTTCATTTGTTGGAAGTCTTTTTTAATAAGACTTGTTCAGATAAGGTTATATATATATATATATAGTGCAAAAGTTCACTTTCTTGTATTTTTCTTGCAACAGTTTAATTAATGAAATACATTCTTGAGTGTTTACTTGCATTAAACATTCTATAAACTGTGTGCTGTAGGGTAAGTAGTTATAAAAGATTTCTTGAGTGTTTGACAATCTAAAAGGTAAGAGTTCAAGTGAGTTGTGTATTCGTGTTCAACAAATTGGTATGTTGTAAATCGGAAATTTGAAAATAACTGGAATCTAATGTACTACTTACTATAGTACCGATTGGAATGTAGTACCATATATTCACTGTCTTTTCTCTGTACATGCCCAAAACATTACGATCTTGAAACGTAACTCCAGTTCACCGAACCGTAGATGACGCAATGTAGAGACGTTCACAGTGGTGTTCATCTGGACCCTGTTTTTCCAATCATGACGTTTCGGCTCTGATCCAGAAGCCGTGTTCAATTGAAAAATGAAGTTAAATTGAATTGGAAATGGATTCTGGATGGAAGCCGAAACGTCTTGATAGCAAAAACAGTGTTCAGGTTAGAGGTCTGAGCTTGGCAGAATTTTCAGTCCCACTCCCGCCTGCACCTGAATTGTGCACCCGCAAAGAATTGTAATTTTCATTCCGGCTCCCGCCCGCATCTGTGATATTTTATTCCTCTCCCACCCACAGGTCCCTCAAGATGGGAATGTTCGCTTTCTTAAACTCTATCAAACACTAATTAGCAGAAAAGAATTGTCTAAAACCTGCTGGAGATTAGACCATGTCCACAAATTTAGCCTTCTTAAAATACTTTTATTAATGCCAAATAAAATGTCCTGCACAAATTATTAGGGGTGTAACGATATCCAAGTCTCACGATATGATATAATCACAGTATGAACCTCACGGTACGATATTTATTGCGATATTGTGGGAAAGCTCACAATATGTTGGGGAGGCTTACGATAACAATATCCAAATCTCTCGGTACGATATTTTCATGATATACATCTCACGGCACGATATTTGTTAATATGCTGTTAATATGCTTTTTTCCTCTTAAAATGCCTTGACAAGACTTAATCCAAAGAACTAAGAGGTAAAAGTGCTTAGAACTGTTATTTCTTCTTACACTGAAATGGAGCAAAGGATCATGGTCTATTGTAGTTCCGTCTTTTCTTCTATTGCTGCACCATAACTCTTAATTTAAGCAAAAAAAGACTTATAATTCGATATATTGTGATGGTCCACGATATTATTGTGAGAACTTTGACGATACAATATCACGATATTTCAGTTATTGTTACATCCCTACAAATTGGGTATGATAGGCATACATTATTCAGTTGTATATTTTACTTTAAACTCATATTTACCCGCATCTGCAATGAGCTTTCAAAATGTGTCCTGCACCGCACTGTTTTGCATCGGGTGCAGGGCTCTAGTTCAGATGATCACCACTGTAAACGTCCCTACATTGACCCTCGCCTGGACGCATGTGGGATTACGTCGATTAGATAATGCACTAGTTCTTAATCCAACGCAAACAAGTAATGCCAACTTCCATGATTCAAAGTTTAACCAAACGTCTCCAGTAACTTTCCAATCTCAGGTAAACGACCAAACCCAATCGCCACAGGAATACATTGAACTGCCTTTACCTTGTTTCCAGAGGCACATTGCTACCCAGCACCCAGCTGTCTTGCAGCGGGACGCTCTCGGGGGGCGTGGTCTGCAGCTCGGCTGGTGATTGGCCAGCCACTGGGGCCGGGCTTCCTGTGGGCGGAGTTAGCTGCCGGGTGGAGTTCAGGGAGTGGCCAGCGTGGTGCGTGGAGCCCAGTGATTGGTTCAGAGCTGTGATGGACGGCTGCTGGCGGTGAGGGGGCGGCACTGGGGGCAGCGTGGTGCCGTGGTGATTGGACGGTTGCTCTGTGGAGACAGGAAGTGAACATGGTCAGGTTTTGTGTCTATATAAAATTCAACACTCAGTGGGACTAAATTCAAAACTTTGTTAAAAAGTACATACATAAACTAACCTCCTATACTTTTATTTCATTTTTTGTACTTTTTTGTGTTAAGTGTATGCCATTTCTGTTCTATATTTCTATCTATCATGTATTATTTATGTTATGTATGTTATGAATGTATACAAGGATTTAAGCTGCACCTTTGTTAAGTTTACAAGAGTCAAAAGTCGAGTGCTAGATGTTTATGAGCACATGTCTCTCTCTCTCTTTTTTTTTTTTTTTATTCAGTTCCAATTCACAAACAATAGGACACATTAAAGTTATGTCATGAGCTTTTGAGCAGCACACTCAACAATGGAATCACAAGGACGGAAAAAGAAAGTAAGTGTTTGTGTTGCCATGCAAATATGTATCTCATCTCATGCCCGAAGTAGGTCACTCAGGGTTCAGACACCTGGGCCTGCTTACAGCTTCAAGTGGCAGAAGATACACCAATGTTTTGCTTGTCAATACACTGTAAATACATTGTGCATTGAAACCAGGTGTGGAGCCGGACCTCTTCAGAGTTCAGCATTTCTGTTTCAAGTTTACGGGCTCCATGGACTAAACCAAAGTAAATCGATTCAGTTGAAAAGATGAATATTTATCCACTACACTGCAAAACACACACATCTTAAGATAAATCAGTTCAAAATGTTGACATAGAGTTGAGCATAGATTTTGTTCTAGTTTCATTGCAAGCCACATTCTAACAGTTAAAATGAATAAATACAAATTTTAAGTACTTTTAAGTAACAGAAAATATGAATACTGAAGCTGATGTCATTCACATTCGCTAACTGTAGACACTGCTCTGTCTGAAGCTCTGTTACGCAAGTTAGACTTTAATATGAGCTTTGTTTAACACAATCTGAAGTTGTGTGAAAGCTACTTCACAAGAGGATGTACCAACACAGACAAGAAAGCAGTAGCGGTTGTACATCTCCACTTAAAAGCCATGGGTCACTCATTTGAGGACAGCGAGGTATAGATTTTAGCCAGAGAAAAGAATTGGTTTAAGAGTGGAGTTAAAGAAGCTATTTTTGTTAAGAAAGACAATCCTTCTCTAAACAGAAATGGAGGCCTCAGACACCATCTATCTCCTATTTACAACTCCATCCTCAAGCCTAAATCAAAACAAACAAGAGAACAAAAGCTATAGCCAGGTCAGGTCCAGAGGTGTGAAAGCTCCATTATGGCCCTGAATGATTCTGCTAATAAGACCCCACACTCAGTGCAGTTCAATAGGCCTAACTAACTAACAGAAACGGTAAACAAATAGGTGTGTTAGTTTGAGAGTACTTAGTTAGCTCCTCCCTGCAGACAGATATAAGGAAGTGTCCACCAGCGTCTGACCAGAACTGAAGAAACATTAACTTTTGTCCAGTCGACAAACAGAATTTCTCCTTTGCCACAATCTGAAGAACTGAAGAATTTAGCTGGAATTGTTTTTTTTTTTCAGACCATCTTTAACAGTTTTAAACAAATTTTTGCTTATGTGTGCATTGCTTCACCATAGTAACTCCTGAACTGGTTCTGAACTGGTTCTGCCATAGACTTACATGCAGAACCCCCAGTGTGATGTCACTACAAAGTATCAATAGCTTAAAATAAGAAAAAATAATAAGTAAAAATATAACAAAACAACAAAAGGAATAAAAATAAAGTTCTAAAAAAAGCTAAGTTAAATATTTTTGACTAAACCTAAACTAGCCAAACCCGTTAAAAACATAATTAAGCAAGTATTCTATTTATTAAACAGTGTTATTTTTTGTTCAGCTGATTGTCAACAGTGTGTAGCCGGTCTCATGTTGTATCCCTATGGGGCCTCTTCCATCTGCTGATCACCACAACAGCTATTCGAGGCACCGCGCTTTGAGACGCTTCTGTCACCGAGTATGTCATGTGTGAAGAAAAAAAAATAAAAAAACTTTATTTAAAAAGTTGTTGGTGACTGACAGACCTCCCCATCTCACATCTACAGTAAGAAGTCCATTTCTTTTCAATTCCCCGTATCCCTGGCTCCGTGCCTCGGAAAACGCACAACCATCGCAGGTGTTGTCACATTCGGTTAAAATCAAGAACGAGTTGGTGGTTTGAAAGACAAGAAACTGAAGCCTGATTAATAGAGATGTTTTGCCAAAGACCAAAGGGAAGGTAGTTAAAAGGCAAAGCCACAAAATCTCCATGGAGACCAGAGTGGCAAAACCTAAGCAGAAATGTTGCGTAGTGAACCTTTAAAGGCCCTATATTACGGAAAAATTACTCTTGTGAGCCACTTCTGAGTCATATTTTAACTTCAAAAACATACCTGGAGTTTTATTTTGTTTCATACACATGTTTAGTAGAGATGGGCAATTCCAGGCCTGAAAATATTCAAATGAATTTAGTGAAAGTATATGGAGTTTAAAAGCACTTCCTGTATTACCATATGACATTACAAGGTGAAACTCAGCCTTCAACACATGTAAATAAAACAAAACCCAACTCTGAGTATGTTTTTTAATAATATAGATAGGGTAATATGAGCCCTTTAAATCACTGTTAAACAAAGACTCTCATGACCCTCAGGTTTTTTTTTTTTTTTTTTTTGGGTCGCCTTGTCACGATCTAGCCAGGCCACCTAGTGCCTCCGCTCAATTTAATTTCTCTCCAGGGACTAGGTCAGGAATTGGAATACACTAGACAGTTTGCAAGAACCTCAGAACTGCTAGATGTGTTGAGAATGATTCCAGAGATTGAGGATTTAAACAAATTTAAACAAAGAGAATGTTTGGTGAATTTTATCAAGGGGAAAGACGTCACTGTCCTTTTTCCTACGGGATTTGGGAAAAGCTTAATATACAAGTGAGCCCCGTTAGTGGTGCATTACATACGTCACAACGAAATAGCAGCGATTGGTTAAATAAAAAAAGTACCTGCCTACCGTCGATCGAACAAATTCTAACCCTGCGAAGTCAGACGATTTCCACAAAGTGAAACCGGCTGATGAATCAGGCTAGTCAAGATCTGCATGTAGGTTGAAATGTTAAGACATGTATTTTTTTAATAATTTCTAATGTTTTTGTAAATATTTTTTTGACTATTTTGTTCCAATATTGCTGGTTCAATTGAAGGCTGAAAAGGAAAAGAAATGGATTAAATTTAATGTCCAAATAAGCATCTTATGGATCTTTTTATTGCTGCTTCAATTACTGTTTTTCATTGTTTAAAACTTGAGTCATACTAATTGTTCAGAGACACGATCACTCAGTCAACAAGAAAACATCCTCATTAATGTTCAATAATGGTCAAATCCACTTTTACTTTGTGATTTATGAATAATGTCTATTGACGTTTAAAATATGCGTCCCAGAAAACCAGTTTGCGAAACACTGCTTTAAATGAAATCATGTAGTTATTTGAGAGGCAAGAGGAATGTTCATTTTCTTTCTAACTTGATCCTTTGTTACATTTGCAAAGGCGTGTTGAATGTGTTTGTCTACAGTTGGACATTGAAGCGTTATGTAAATGTGTGTGTGCTGTTAGGATTGGTTCAAGGCCCGTGTGAAGCCTGCCCTCCAGCTCCATGGCGATCCGAGACGACTGAATACTGATCGCTGATTGGCCTTCGTTTGTTTTGTCTGACAATATTTACACAGCTTTGACCCGGCTTCAACTCTTCCCCTGGTTCTGTTTCTTCTTTCTCCTCTTCTCAGCTCTTCCCTCGCTATTCTCTTCCGCTCCTCCACTCGCTCCGCTCCTCGTCTCCTCTCATCCACTCTCTACCCTTCTCTTCTCCCTCTCCTCTCTACTTGCCTCCTCCCTCGCTCCTCTCCTCTTAAGCTCCTGTTCCTCCTTTTCTCCCTCCTTCCCTCATCTCCTCCTTCTGAGCTTCTCTCTCCTCCCTCCCTCCATCCTCTCCTCTTCCTCACTCCTCCCTTGCTCCTCTTCAGTGCTCCCTCGTCCCCTCTCCTTCACTCCTCTCTCTCACTCTCTTTCCTCCTCCTCTTCTCCCTCTCCTTCACTTTTTCCTCCCTTCCTCCAATCCTCTCTCCTCTTCTCCCTCTCTCCTTTCCCTCACTCCTCCCTTGCTTGTCTTCTATGCTGCCTCCTCGTCTCTCCTTCACTTCTCTGTCACTCTTCTCCCTCTCTCCTGTCCTCTGTTCCTCCCTCTCCTCCACTCCTTCCTCAACTCCTCTCTCCTCTCCCTCACTCCTCCCTTGCTCGTCTTCTATGCTCCCTCCTCTCTTCTCCTTCACTCCTCAATCACTCTTCTTCTCTTCTCTGCTCTGCTCCTCTCTCTTCTCCTCTCTCTTCCTCACTCCTCCCTCCTCTTCCTCTTCTCCCTTTCTCCTTTCCCATCGCTCCTTCTTCTATACTCCCTCCTCGCCTCTCCTTTAGTCCTCCCTCGCTTTTCTGCTCTTCTCTGCTCCTCTCCACCGCTCCTCCCTCTCCTTCACTCTTCCCTCCCTTCCTCTTCTCTTCTCACTCCTCCCTCACACTCTTCTCTCCTCCCTCTTCTCCCCTGTTCCTCCCTCTCCTTCCTCCCTACCTCAACTCCTCTCTCCTCTTCTCTGTTTCCCCTTTCCCTCACTCCTCCCTTGCTCCTCTTCTATGCTCCCTCCGCTCCTCACCTCCACTCCGCCCTCTGCTCCACTCCTTCCTTCCCTCCACTCCTTCTTCCTTTCCTCCTCTCCTCTCCCTCACTCCTTCCTCCACTCCTCTCCGTACCTCTCCTCCTCTGCTCCTCGCTCTCCTCCACTCCTCTCACCTCTCCCCCGATCCTTCCTCGATCTCACCTCCTCCTCACCGTCTCTCCTCCTCCCTCTTTTCTTGTTTCTCTCTTCCCTCGCTCCTCTGAAGGAAATGAAGGACTGTGGCTGGTATTTGATTTGCATAAAGAGCATCACGTCTCCATTTCCCAGGCCTGCTGTTTTTCAT